GTGAGCTGTCCTAACACTTTATCCTGCAAAGTTTTTCATAAAGTAGCACACCAGATTCCTCATTCATAAAATCCATGGACTCCAGATTCCTCATTTGCCATGCCTTTGAGAAGCAAACACATGTTGCCAGCTGTGTGGGTACATCCCCAGGCTTCGTCAGGAGTGCTGACAACAGGTTCTCACAGCTTTAAAAAGATGTCATGCCTCTGAGTCACCCCAGGTGGTGGTCAAGGCCATGGGGATTAAAGAGGGCTTTGGATCTTTCTAGTTGTGGATTCTGTAGGATTTGCTATGGGGACAATCTGCATTTCTTAGGAAAATCTCAGAACTGTATGTCTGAACTTTCCTAGACCAGGCTCCCATGGAGCCTACAGAAAGTCAACGATCATTTACAGACTGCCCTTCACATCTCAGCTTTGGGGGTGAAGGCTTAGCGAGGGAGAGTGAAATCTGCAATTACGGCAACAAGGTGGTGCTGCTGAGGGGAGTTTTGAGAATTTCAGACTTCAGGTTTCTTTTTTCATTACATGGTCAGCGAGCCAAGCACCTGTCTCCGGGGATGTCATAAAACTGGTGGATTATGGATGGCGGGGGAAATCACCAGGCACTCAAGCACAGAGTGAGCAGGATGCTCGGCAGAGCAGTACGATCGGTGATTCTCAGCTTCTGTCTCCTCTGCAGCCAGCCAGATGAGATGGGAGACTGAAGGTGAAAAGCAGGGCCAGGCTCCCTGGTCAGGTTGTTTACACCTCATCTCCTTACCTCACCATCAGAAAAGTCACGCTGCTGTCCCGAGCTCAAGAACCAGAGGGGCAGCTGTGGTGAATGACGGCACCATCACAGCAGACGGTATGGAAAAGCCTTAGGTCTCCACACTCTACCCCACACTCTAGTTGGACCAAGCAGAGTGACTTCGCAGTACACGTGGACATTTCTCATAGATCCCATGAGAAAGGACTTTCGTCATTATTGTGACACATTATCAGTAACTTCAGGGGGTCTTAGGAGTTGAAAGTTTCTTCTTCTCTAACTTAGAATCGTTGTTCCAAGTCACTGCCCTTTGCTAAAAGAATTTAAAATGAGACTATACGTACGTATGTATGAAGAGGGCGAAATGACCTGAGTGGGTTATGGATTGTGTTCACTTCAGGGTCTTAAAGGGCCTGTGACCTGGCCTTTGCTATCTGGAGCCTTGCTTCCCCCAAAGTGCCTCTCCCTGGACCTTGGCCTACTAGTGGACTATGACATCAAATTAGTGGGCATGATAAAAACAGAATTAAAGCAGTCTCAGAAATATCACATGTAATAATAAGTATTGTTTTAAGGAAACAGTGTACAGAATCTTCCATTGTAGCAGGTCATGGTAAAAATGGAAGAACCTGTGGAGACAGGATGTCAGGATATCCCCCTGTTGATTTTTTTAGGGCGATTGTGCTGGGCATGTGGGGCCCCTCCATCAGAGAGAACAGGCTTTGGAACCCTGTGTGAAGACAAATCAACGAAATGGAAGGCTTAGTTACGAATGCTGCTTGAGGGAGAAGTGGATCCATGACATATTATGCAAACTAAATGTCTTCCCGCACACCTGCCTACGCCTCAAGTTCTGGTCATCACTTTCTCCTTGTCTTCCTGATGAAGATCTGTGGACTACAGCCTCTGCTTCCTATACTGGCTTCCTTGACTTCTCTTCACCCTTCTGCTCATTGCAAACAGGCTTTTGTTCCCACAATTCCATTGACACTCTCCTGGACGTTGTCACTAACAAGCTTCTTCTTGCTAAGTTGAGTGGCCTTCAGACGCCATTCTGTATGATGTTTAAAACACTCACTGAACATGCATGCACGAGTGCATGCATACATACATACATACACATGTTTTAGACAGGATTTCTGCCTTAGTCATTGTTCTGTTGTTGTGAAGAGACGCCATAGCCAAGGCAAATCTTATAAAAAGAAATTTATTCTTAATGTTTGGGGGCTTTTAAGTTTAATTTAATTTAAATAAAATTAATTTTAATTAAAAAGCCATTTAATTGGGGGCTTGCTTATAGTTTTAGAGGCTGAGTCCATTAACATCATGGTGGGGAGCATGGCATTGGAGCATTAGCTGAGAGCTACATCCTGATCTGCAGGCAGAAGGGAAGAGAGAGAGACACTGGGCCTGGCATGGGCTTTTGAAACCTTGAAGCCCATCCCCGTGACACACTTCCTCCAACAAGGCCACACCTACCAAGGTGACTGAGCATTCAAATATATGGGCCTTTGGGGGCCATTCTTATTCAAACCACCACAGTTTCACTATGTGAGCCCTGGCTTGCCTAGGACTTATCAAGTAGACCAGGTTGGCCTTGAACTCACAGTTATCTGCCTACCTCTGCCTCCTGGGTGCTGAGACTAAAGGCATCTGCCAACATGTCTGGCCCAGTGATAATAATTTTAGTAACGGAAGAAACATGAAGGTTAGTACGTGCTGAATAAGTTTCCTGTTGACACTTAGTCTGCCGTCTGAAGGACTTAGGGGTTTTGTAGGTTGGTACTTTGATTTTTCAGGTTTGGTTGTGAGCCTAGCCTTTAACGGTTGAGCTATCCCTCCAGCCCTGATTTTTCAGGTTTGAATTCAAGGCTGAGAGAAGCTTGATTACAACAACATAATAATAGCTGGGTCTGCCTGACTGCCAGGGCTTTGAGCCTCCTCTGCCTCGCTCTCACATTGCGGCTCTTTGAACTGAACCTCCTGTTTCTCTAACTTGCCTGGCATGGTCCCTTTTATGGTCTCCCCTGCCCCATCTTGGTAACATAGATGATTCCAAATCCGTCTGCAGTTCAGACTTTCTCCCGAGCCCCCAGTATTTTATTACTGTCTTGTCTCCACTGGATGCCCTGAAGGCACTTAAGAATTAAGCAAACTGAATTATCTTCTCCTAAATCCTCATTTTTGTCATTACACAGTACCACTTTGGGAGACCTCAAGAAGGGTGAAGATGAGGCAGGCCTGTGATTACCTGTGTCAAGCAAGCACACTCCCATTCATAGTGAGTTAACAAGCATTTCTGAATGAAGAAATTATGGAAATTCAGTTTATGGAAAGGGGATGAAGAACTAGAACAATTAGTCCAATTAATTCATAGCCTATAAACAATGAGCCTTTGGCTGTCAGTTTCGAAGGCAAGCTCATTAGCATACTTTGTCCTAGTTCATAAGAGGCTTCTTTTCACTCCATTCATAACATTTCCTATTGAAAATTTAATATAAAGCATAAATAAAGAGCTATCAAATTCCACGGTTAGGCAGTGGAGCCTCCACAGTTGGAATGAGAAAATCCATTGTTGGGGTCCAATATTTCTCTCTCTCTCCCCATCCAAATGAGGACAGGACTTAGTCTGTGTTCTAGGCATTACTGGTGCTACCATCACACTTGGCACTTTGGAGATACTCATAAATATTTTAGTTAGCAAATGGAAGGATGAGAAGGCAGGAAGAGGTAGAAGAAGAACATGTTTTCAGAGAAAAGTAGGTAATTCTTGTTTTGTCCTCTGGATTCTTAGGTGTCCTTTGGCACCTGCCCATCAATGGAGAAATGTTGGTAGCCAGAGGGTGCCTTACGAGGATGCAGTGAAGACTTCTGAAGAAGTTTTTTTGAAATAAAGTTAATAGACATCTAATGCTTCCTGAAAAGATTTTTGTATTCTGTAAGAAGGTACAGCTTCTTATACTAAGGGGAAGTGTAATTTGGGAGGAAAAAAAAATAAAGGAAAATAACGGAAGCGAAGGGGCTGGAGAGACGGCTCAGCAGCTGAGAGAGCAGATGGCTTTTGCAGAGGACCTGAGTTCAGTACCCGGCACCCATGTTGGGTACCACACACACATGCACACACCCACGTGCAGATACACGTAAATATGAGTAATTAAAAACAAAAATGAGAATCTAAAATAGTGTCTATGGGAATTAAAACCAGGCAAACCCTGCCTCATTTGACAGATGCTGACGCTAACCAAGAAACCCTGCCGTCAGTTGTCTCGGAACGGTTTCCAGACCTTTGATGGCTCCCTAGCAACTATCTAGGCCTTGGGGTTCTGGATGGAGTACCCCACAGCTACAAGGACCTACGTGCAGTCAGAGAGGCGTGCTGTATTCCAGCACAGCTATTTAATAGCACCAGGTTTTGTGTCTCGTGGTCCTCAAATGCCACTCCTAAGATGGTATGCTCACAAAGTCACTGTGCGCACCGGTTATTTTCATTTCATGGAAATGAAAGAGGAAGAGGAAAAAACAAAACAAACAGACAAACCAGAGTGAGACAGACAGCTCAGTGAAGAGTTAAACACATCCTGTATCTATCCACCAATGACGTCAGTCTGAAGCGTTGGCGAAAATACAGAGAGTGTATGAAATAATGCTAAGTTCAAGGCAGACTATAAAATACTACAGACATCCTGACTATGCCAAAAGAAAAAAGATTTATTTAAGGAGGGGAAAAGACCAATAGGAACCACTCCAAATGGTGCTAACTGGGTGATGAGTTGGTTTTCTTTTTAGGTTTGTTTTCTTACTTTAAAAACTGATGGCATTTTTGTGGGCTTTCAATACTAAAATCATAAATGCCCCTTTTATCTAACAACAACCCAGCAGGCTTTTAATACTCTTATTTCAGATATAAAAAAATATGAACATTGAAAGAAATGTGAAAAACTATCCAAGACAGCATAAAGATTAAGTAGCGCGCGTGCGCGCGCGCGCACACACACACACACACACACACACACACAAAATCTCAGTCGAGTGCTCTGTCTGGCTTGGATCAAAGTTCAGGCATCTCCTCAGGATAAAATGATATAGTTCAGTTTTGTTTTTCAATTGAAAGATAGCTTACCCTAAAAATAAGATGTTAAAAATCAAATGGTGTTTCCTTTAACTCTCCAAGAAATCAGTATGTGGTGGGTGGGAGAAAGCCATGGCGAGAGCCGGGAGGGTCGGGGCACCGAGAACTTTGTGGAACCCACCTCCTCCAAGGCCTTGCTCACGCAGTTCTTCCTGGCGGCCTCCTGGAGCTCCATAGCTTGCTGGATGTACATTTTCCCAACCAAGATTTCATTCTCCAGCAGCGATAGCTCTTTCAACGAAATGGGCCAATTCAGCCTCTCCAGGGCTTTGTTTAAAACTGCCTTGTGTTCCAAGTACTGTATGGGTTTGATTGCATCCAACCTGAGAAACAAAGAAAGGAGCCCACAAAATGAAAAGAAGATACGTGTAATAAGACAAAAAAAAAAAAAGTATTGTTTCTCAGTAAAACTCCCGAGAATCATCTGTTGACACAGACATCAGATGCCAGAGCCAGCTGCGCCTTCAAGCCCACCTCTCCAGCCCCCGAAGCTCTTTCGCGAAGCTGGGACAGCAGGAGGAAGGGTGAGATTTTAGCTCTGAGCTCTGACCTCTCAGCTTTCTCTTTTACATTGTTTCTGTGTTTCTTATTTAATAAGACGGTTGGTTACATCTATATGTTTTTTCAGAGATTAGTTATAATTAGAAACTGTCCTTGGAACGGATGGAAAAGGAGCCTGGCACTGTTTGGAGCTGTATTGTGAGATGATGGAGGTCCCTCAATTACATCAGCTGGTGATACAGCCATCTTAGGTTACATTCACATGGGGGCAAACTGCCTAAGAACATCTATCAGCATGTACAGCCGGAGTTAGGCAACACGTTATCATATCCAGTGGTTTGGATTTTTTGTTCTTGATTTTGTTTTTTGCTTTGAGACAAAAATCTCCTTATGTAGCTCAGGCTGGTCACAAACTCATGAGTCTCCCCAGCACTAGGATTATGGGCAACCACCATCACGCCCATCCAGCAGCCCATGGTGAGGACATGGGAAAGCGAGAATGGGAATGCTCGCACAGAAATGGCGGGGATGTGAAGTGGTGTGGCTGCTGGCGGCAAGCCTGGAGCCTCCTCAAATGCTGAAGCATAGAATCTCTGTGATAACCCGACTCCTCACTATATACGTCGGAGAAATAAAAGCGTGTTCATCCCAAAACATCCACTCACGTGAGCACAGCAGCGTTATTCATAACAGCTGAAAAAAGCAGAAACAACTGAAATGTTCATCAGTGGGAGTAGATAATCAGTGGTGTGTGTGTTTGTGTGTATGTGTGTGTGTGTGTGTGTGTGTGTGTGTGTGTGATAACTTCCTTAGTCCATGCATGTGTGTATGTGTACATGTGCGTATGTGTTACAATTTTCATGAGCTTTGCAAATATTGGATTTTCCCATTAAGTAACAGAAGACAGGAACAGAAGTGTCACATGTGTGCTCTCTTTCACATGGTCTATCCAGACAGACAGATTCATGGAAACATAAAGCAGACTGGAGTCATCGGTGGCTGGAGAGGAGGGTAATGGGGAATAATTGCTTTATGGGCAAGTAGCAGTCTTTTTCTGGGGTGATGAGTGTCTGGGGGTATTACACACTCCAAACACCTCTGGAGCATACAGTTCAAATAGTTGGTTTTGGTTAGGTGAATTTCCTTGGCATTGCAAAAGGGAGCTAGGAATGGAATGACTTACTTCTCTTTTTCCTCTTGAGACAGAGCTTGCCAGACAATTTTATTTAAGCGTCTGTTGAAAAAAAATACAGTAACAATAATTTAAGAGCAATAACTTGTTTCAAGTAAAAAAGTTGACTTCAGGCTCGGAGAAGGAGCAAATGGAAGCCCAAGCCAGCTGCCAACTATTATTGGACCACACCACTGTCACCCACTTAAAGAGATCACATAGGCAAATCTCCCTCCTAAGCATCACTGAGGAAGTCTTGTGGGTGGGTGGGAGTAGCATCAAACACTAAGGAAGTCTTTGCCCTCAAGTAAAAGCTGTAAGCAAGCTGCTGGTCCTCATCATCTCTGCATTAAGAGGTTTCTCATCGGCTGCCAGACTATACAGCAGGAAAGGTACTCGCTGCCAAATCGGACTTCCCAGGACCCACATGGTGGAAAATAAAAACTGACCCCTTCAAGTTGTCTTCCACATATGCATTGTGTGTTATCACACACACACACACACACACACACACACACACACACACACACACTCACACACACACACATATGCACACATGATAAATGCAATACAAATTAAATTTAAAAAGTAACTTTCAGGCGCTACAGATTTATTCCTAAGAAAAATGTAACCACTCTTAGCTTGCCTTCTGGAGACACTCTTCTGCCTGGATTCTGAGAGCAAAGGGAGCTAATGAGATTATAAGCCACACATTTAGGATTCATGCTACAAATCATCCCGTCTAACCACCTTGTTGTCTGGATGGCAGTACAAAGATGGGCAGCCACGCAAAACACCTTAAGCATCCACCCAGCTAGCTGTCAATGGGGGAACAGAAGCCTTGCGCTGACCACATCCTCAGAGAGAAGCCACCTGCCCAAGAGGAAAGGGAGTTGGAACAGTGGCTCCTTTCCTTGAGTGTATACACGTGCGTATATATTACACTTTTGTTACATCAGTCAATGATGCTTCTTTCCATGGATCTAGCCCAATCTGTGACACTACGCCATCACCTCGGGCTTTGTGGACAGCAGGGGACAGAATGTCGTTGGCTGCAAAGCTTGTAGAGTACGGAACATTGCCTTCCACAGGAAGTGCTCTTCTGACGACTGAGGCCAGTTGGCATCAGCACAGCACGCAGGGAATACACTTTGGGTGGAGGTGCTGTTCTGTCCTGCGTGTCCACCATGAGGCTGGAGGGGCTGGGATGCTAAGACAAGGCTGGCTCATATGGGAGAAAGACCACAGTACTGGGGCCCAGACCTCAGCTTCTCCCGTTCCTGTGAGGCTTTGGGCTAGGACACAGTCAGCTTTTCCGTCAACTCAAAATGACAAGAGAATCCCCTCCTGGTGCAGTTAGGATGACTCTGGGAGCTGGTCTGTGCACAGCATATGGATTGTGTCTGACATTGGCAGAGACTCTGTAAGTGATGGCAAAAAGTCAGAAAGAGTGGGGGCTGGAGAGCGAGCTCGGCCATTAAGGGTACTTGTTGCTCCTACAGAGGACCTGGGTTCAGTTCCCAGCATCCACATGGTGGCTCACCACCATCCATAACTTTATTTCCATGGAATCTGATGCCTTCTTGTTACCTCCACAGGCACCAGGCATGCATAGGCATACATTTTCAGGCAAAACACTCATAAAATAAAATGAAAGGATTTCAAACACAGAGTCAGGAAGAGAGAAGTAGGCCAACTAGTGCTTTGGTCTTACTTGAAGGTTTTGGCTTTTTGGGTTCCATAAGGAAACTGGGTTTCTACAGTCACTTGGTTCATGTAACAGTGATCGGGACTTCTGAGACTGGTTTTCTGTGCTTTTCTTAAAATATATTCAGCCCCCTCTTCCATCTAAACCTGAAAGCTGACTCAGTGTAGCGCGGAAGCTGAGAGGGCGAAAGAGGACTTCGGTGCAACTCGGATCTGGGGTCGGGCTCGGCACCCAGCCCCACCCGGAGGCTATGTGATCCTCTTGGACAGAATCCTTTGGAGCTCTGCTTTCTCAGGGGTAAAACAAGGCTAACAGCACCCATCCCTGGCTTTGAGAGGACGAAGAAGAAATATATGTAAAGTATCAGGAGTACCTATTGCGGTATTCCTCTCCTCTGGATGGGTCCAAAGGGTGAGCCCGGGAACACGGAGAGACCACTAGCACTGTGGGTCCAGTGGGTCCAATGAGCTAGCATGGATCGAATTAGAACTCAATACTTTAGAAAATATTTCCCAGAGGCACATATTCATCACATCTGTGTCCCCTCTTGTCCACATTTTGTAAAATGTCAATGCTTTATTGAGTTGGTGGGGGTGATTATGGCAAAGCCACCAAGAGTACGTGACGACCATTCTCCCGAGGCACCTGGAGGGCACTGAATGTGAGGGCCTTTCTGAAGCTGGTCCAGCCCCTTAATCCTGGCTGCTCCTGTGCATCCACTGGGTTGCTGTGGCTCTAGCTGTAGCAAGAAATGACTTGTCTACAAAGCAACGTGTAACTATTGGGCACATCATAAATCTGACCAGCAAGAAAGAGAAGACCTTAAAAAAGAGTTGTTGAAGCACGGCCCCAGAGCCAGACTAGAACTGAGACTTCTGTGGATTTCAGAACTGTGATCTTGACATTGGCAATCAAGATAAGCTTAAAAACAAAAAAACAAAAAAAAACACTGCTTCTGAATCCGAGCAGCCCTAGAAGCATTCAAGCTTTTGTTCAAAAACACAAAGCCAAGACTCTTGAAATACTGGAACATAAGGACATCCACCCATGGACGCTGTGTCTGAAATAGCTCCTTTATATCATCCTGTGAACTTCCGTTTGCTTGGTCATCCCTAGCTTGAATGGACTTATGGATGTATAATACCATTTATTTTCAAAGTGACATTGGCTTACTTTGGAGAAAAACATCACAGAGATGTGATGGTGCATGTGGGACAGTATATTTGTCCATTACTCATCATTTGCACATGATGAGAAAGTTGCATGTGATAAAATAAAAAAATGGGAATGACATTTCTACAAATAAAATTCTTTAGCACTATTGAATTAAAAGGCTCAGGAAGTTTTTGTTCTGTATAATATTGTTACTATTAATACTACTATTAAATAATTTAACATACACACCAAAGCAATAAACCCAGTGTTAATTAAATGAGTAAACTTAAATATTAAACATCAGCTTTACTAAAGCTAATATCATTAATGTAAAAATTATTATTACTGAAAGTACAAGTTCTCTCTCTCTCTCTCTCTCTCTCTCTCTCTCTCTCTCTCTCTCGGTTTTTAGAGACAGGGTTTCTCTGTGTAGCTTTGGAACTACACAGACTGTCCTAGAACTCACTCTGTAGCCCAGGCTGGCCCCAAACTTACAGAGAGTCTGTCTCTGCCTCCCGAGTGCTTGGATTAAAGGCATGCACCACCACTGCCTGGCTCTGTTGAATATCTCTTATTTTATATTTTGAATATTTGCATGTACATAAAGAGATACCATAAGGATAAGATCCAAGTCCAAACACAAAATTTATTTAGCTTTCCTATCTGCCTTATACACACGCCCAGAAATAAATTTATGCCCAATTATTAGTGCATACACCAACATTTTAACCGTGGTCTTTCACATGGGATCAGGAATGGAATTTACCATATGTGGTATCATTATGGGCACTCAAAAATTTTGGAGTTTGGTGCATCTGAGGTCTGGAACTTTTAGGAGTTTTTGTTCAACATGTAGCAACAATACTTTTCTACCATTAGCAAAAGAGTTTCTTAGAGTTACTTGCAGGGACAAATCACTTACTCTGTGCTTTGGCTTTTTTCTCAAGGAGTGTTGTTCTGACTGGAAATGGGGTCTCCTTCCTTTCTGAGACACTCGGAAAATGTCAGCATGGTAGAAAGAGCCAAGGGACTACTGTGCTGCACACAGTCGTGGTTATTTTAGGATGAACAGATTTAGGATGGAAGGCAGAACCATGTGGAATGCTTCTTACATGTGATCTGTACAATCCTCCCAACAGCCCTGTGGTGGAGGTTCTGCAAATAAGTTACCTGTTCTCAGGAATGTTATACACTTGCCTAAAAGTAAGCATTGGTCGGGGCTAAGGACAAAACATGCAAGCCCTGCCCGACCTCCAAGCTCTAGCCTGTGGCTCTGTACCAGGTGTTTACAGACCAAATGATTACAGCACTCAAATATCTGAATTATTCAAACAAACTACATTAGAATTTGAATGGAATTTTATTGCACTTGAATACCCAAATCAAATTTGAACATTTTAATAACTAAACTGGAAATGCATCAAATTTGAATGAATTTCAAATACTCAAGTGCACAGGCCTCTGGTAGAACTGGATGAAAGGGGAAGCAAGGCTGGTCTAGCCATACCCTAGTGGACCAGAATGTCAAGGAGCTACAGTACCACAGGGCAGTAGCTGAGAGAGCTGTGACAAAGAGCACAATAGGGGAGTGACTAGAGGGGGTGTGGGGAGTCCTCTCCGGGGAGGCCATTAGGAAAAAGGACCAGTTGAGGGACAGCAGAATAACAGTCCCTTAAGGGGAGGGCTTCTTGTAAGCACCAGACCTAGGGAGAGGAGGAAGCTCAGGATAGGTCCTCTTGCTACCAAGATAATAAAGATGGAGGACAGGAAGACGCAGGAAAACAAATGGAGCATCCCTAATCCCCAAACACCCTAAATCCCAACTTTTCTGAGTGCCAATGTGACAAGTAGGAAATCTCACCCATGCCATACAGCTTTGTTTCTGGCATGAAATCATTTCAAATAGTGTGTGTGTGGGGGGGAAATGTTTGGACTTGAGCTCAATTCCAAGGGTATCCAATTTTATGCATATTCATAAATACAGAAGAAAACCTGAAATTCTCCTGACCCTTTCATTTTGGATAAGAGATCTCCCCCTGTCCTGACGGGGCTCACATGAGGGCAGTGAAGGAGACTGATGTGAAGAAGATTGGAGAGCCATGCAGGGGTGGGAAAAGACCTTTCTGTGGATTAGCTGTGGCTCCCTGTGGGCAGGAGTTGGGCTCTGAGTACACACTAGGCCACTAGGCCCACTCCACCCTGAGTGATGACGGCTGGGTCAGCAGGGGCCTGACCACATCACTAACCTCTATATGCTTTATTACTTATCCTTCTCACATCTCACATGTCGGTAACTAAAACCCAAGTGTGGAGCTTCCAGAATCTGGAGCAAGCTTCCCAAAGAAGCTGGGCACCTTCAGAGGTCCCTTAAGTGTGTACACTAAGGGCTAGTTCTAGGCAGGTGGGTAGGTCATGGGCAAGGGTGACAGCCAGGCCACCTGTCCTGGAGGAAAGGCTCCACCTTCTGAACTGAGTGTAGAATTCTCTCTGTAGTCAACATAATCATCATCTTGATACAAAAACATGTAAACAATAATCTGTGTTTATAGAGTTAGCCCTCAGTGTTCATGGGGGACTGGTAGCCCCTCTAATGGCTACAGATTAATCAGGGTCATGGACACTCAGCTCTTGCATGTCCAAAGCTATTGCATTTGCATGTAATCAAGGCATACCCTCCCACATGCTGAAAATTACTTGTGGAGTTCTCATAATGCCCAAGATCGTGTAAATTCTGTGTGCACACTGGTTTTGTATTTGGAGAATGTGACAAGAAAGCAAAATCTGCCCGAGTTCAGGTCAGACAGTTTGCTTTCCTGATTATTTTCGTTCGGGGGGAGGGGGAAGGGGGCTGAGCAGGAGAAGTGGCTGTGCCCCTGTGGTGGCATTTGTTAGTTATCCCTCAAAGTGTTCGGTGCCAGGGTGATCACATTCACTGCATTAAGAGGAAACTTTGAAGGTTTCCCGGAAACACCAGATTTCTAGAGCGCTGAGGATGGGAAGGCGGTTTACGTAAAACTGTTGGAAAGATCAGCTCAGGGGCCTAACCCAAGCACCCGGGAGGACCACGCATGGGTTGTCGCTTTGTGTTGATTACTGGGCCATCTGAGAAGTTGCTGTTTCGGATGAAGCAATCTAAGCCAACACAAGAGAAAAGAAGCCAAACTGGATTGTCTATCAGGAGCATCTGGGAAGCATACTTACTTTTCATAGGATTTAATGGCCTGCTCCACATTTTGCTTGTAGATATTGAGTTTGACTCCCTGGGGGTTAATTAATACCATCTTATTGGTGTCACTGCACGCGTGTGCTAGAGGGGACACCTGCACAGCAATGTCAACAGAGAGCAAAGTGTCACTGATAGGTCCACGCCAGCCTTCAAATGTTTATTACATGGGTACGTGCTGTTCTGACTATAAAAACCACATTATAAGCGTAGAAAAGCAGACTATGGTTAAGTCTTCAAAGAATACAAGATACAGTTACCAACCTTTCCCTTTCAATTTTAAAAAGCTATACATTTTAAAAATCGCCACCACAAAACAAAACTCACAGAAGAAAACCCAAAATTGTTTCAGGAAACCCTTGTCATAACTGAGTGTTATCTCTAGAAGCATCTATCAAGCTGGTAAGAGTAGGCAATAAGATATAGAAACTCATATATATATATATACACACACACACACACACATATATATATATGATTGTACATAATTATGTGTTGCTTGTATGTGTGTGCACCACATGCATGCCTGGTGTCTATGGAGGTCAGCAGAGGGCAGCAGATCCCCTGGAACCCAAGTTATGGGTGGTTAGGAATCACCATGTGGGTGCTGGGAATTAAATCCAGGTCCTCTGCAAGAGCCAAGGGTGCTCTGTGGTTTGTTTGTTTGTTTTTCGAGACAGGGTCTCTCTGTGTAGCTTTGGAGTCTGTCCTGGAACTCGCTTTGTAGACCAGGCTGGCCTCGAACTCACAGAGATCCTCCTGCCTCTGCTTCCTGAGTGCTGAGATTAAAGGCGTGCACCACCCACACCACCCACCACCGCCCGGCTGCAACAAGTGCTCTTAACCACTGAGCCAGCTCTCAAGCCCCAAGAAATTACTTTTTACTTTCAATCAAGGTGATGCAGTTCATGCTGTTATGTTCCCTGGCTTCTAAAATTGGGCAAAATAAAAATTAAGATACTAGTGCAAAGAAAGAAAGAAGAAAGAAACTATATATGGTTACAGTTATTAAAAAAAATTGAAGAGAAATGTAAACAGGTGAATCGGGGTGAAGCTATGGGTTGCTGGCTCCGTGTCCAGTGATAACACAGCAGTGAGAGCCCAGCTCCTAAAAGTAAGTGGAACTCTGAGTGCTTTGGAGATAAAGGATCCAGGTTGGGCTCAGTGACAGAGGTTAGCCTTGTGTAAGGGTCCCTCCTCCTTGGAAGAAAGTACTGACTAGCAAGAAGGGACCTTCACATAGCCTCACAACCAAGGACCAAGCCTTGAGAGGGTATCGGTATAGAAATACCTTCTACATTGCCTTTATCTACTGCAAGGAAGAAATCACTCCTCACTCTTTCTTAGCTGTGCTTGTTTGGGGCTTTGCATTCAACCAAGATGAGAACCTATTGCTTGGGGTCAATTAGGCTACTCCAAGACATACAAGAACTTACTGAAACTCTAAGAAGAAGTGGATGCAAATTTTTTTTGGAATCTTGGAAGAATGATATTGGAACTGGAATAAAGAAATGATCTTCATGGATTGAACAAAGTTGAAACTAGACATAATCAATTAAAAAGGGCATGTGAAGCAGGTGACATGTAAGGACAAGAACACTTAAATGGGTGATGAGAGAAGGGTATCTGGATAGGTATTGAGAAGCTCCAATGTGTAGTAATAGAAATGTCTAAAGACTAGAATCAAAGAGGAAGGTCCCACACGAAGCAACATCTGGCAGTATGTGCGCAGAGGCTTCTTCCTAAATGGTGACTGTGTCTAAGCATTAAACTGCGAAAGGGTTGGAAGGACACCATTTGTTAACAATTGTGATTGGTGCTGGCTGAAGTCAAGCTGTTTGATAAGGGCCAGACTCAGTCTGCTGTGGGATCTGGGGGATGGGGAGGGTCTGGGACCTTGTGCAGAGGGTGTGGTTGTTAAGGCTCTGTTTTGCTGGGTCAGCTCTCACAGTAGAGAAGGGACAGTCTGCAGTCAATTAAAAGGTTCAGCTGCTAACTTGTCTTAAGATATAACAATAGCCTGGCCTGCCAAGTTCCACTTTTAGTCCCCAGAATAAAGGTTGCACCATTTTGAATATTTTTTTTAATAGTATAGTTTTAGGTTAGAAGCATGGTTTAGTATTTTTGTACTGAGGCATATGCAAAAACTCAGGTTAAGGATTACTTCTGAGGAAGGAGGGAGGGGTACTGATCAAAAAAGATGACATGGGGGTCTTTACTTTACTTGCAATTCTTTAACTACCTTTAAAAAGTATCTAAAATGAGCCAGGCAGTGGTGGCGCACGCCTTCAACCCCAGCACTCGGGAGACGGGGCAGGCAGATAGATCTCTGTGAGGTCTACAGGGTGAGATCCAGAAACAGCCAGGGTAACACAGAGAAACCCTGTCTTGAAAAACCAAAACCAAATCAAACCAAACCAACTAAAAAAAATGTCTAAAACATGCATAACATTGAGTTTTAAATGAACAAAAGTAGTTACATCTAAAACTTGGGAATTACAGGAGGTAGGCAAGACTTCAATGATTTTACTGTTTAATTCTTTTAAACTATATATATGCACTCTAGAATTAAAGCATTAGGACACACATAAGCAAAATAGGCAAAGATTTATAAAATGGAAGAGAAAGGCATGAAGTTAAAAGCTTCGGAGTTCAGCCAGCTACTTATAAAGCACACAGAGTCAGCATGTGGCTCCTGAACACTCCTTTCAAAGGGAAGGAAAGAGAACAGGGGGTTAAAGGTGAAACGCCTGGGCTTTGAAACTGAAGATTGCATAAGTTTGTAAAAAATAAAATAAAATAAAAAGAAGACGGAAGAAAAAGAAAGAAAAAAATCATCCCTCAAAATAGAGCACCAACAAAACTTGACAGGAAAAAAAAAATCAATGCCAACAAAGATGAAAGACATTTATGTTTTCTGTATCCTGGTAGAAAAGTACCCCTTTGGAAGTCTCTATGTGTCTCTCCTAGTTTACGTTGTTTCGGGTTCAATGATAAATCAGTACTAAAAAAATGCTTAGACAAAATCTTGCCTCTTGACTCCACCTACTTAAGCAAAGGCAAATTCATATTGTACTTCCCTCTTTGGTAGGTTTAGATTTCATGTCTTGCATGGCCATCATGGACTTGAGCGCAGTTGTTCAAATTTGACTTGTGCACACCACCTCCTTCCTTCCTGCTCGCAGGATTAGAGGAACACAAAGACATACTCCACACACCTTCAGTCCTTGCTCTTAGTTTTTACAACATGGTGGTTACTTGGAGGCCAGATGAGACACTCTCTTTATGATGTCAAGTTTAGTGTCACAAGGGGCATTCCAGGGCTTCGGGGATCACAGTCAGGGTGCCTGGCCTCTGGGAGGAGTAAGTCGGGAGGAAAGTGGGGTTCATGAGGAAGCTGAGGGCTCGGTTTGGAGGGAATAGAGGCATGCTGCGATGCTGTGATCGCAGGCCCCTTGAAAATGACTTCCTTAGTACATTTCTAACTCAGCGGGGAGGGGAGAATCCTTCCAGACAATATTTGGTAATAAGAGGAAGCCCAAGGCACCATCTACTTTAGTTCTCTGAGGCAAAACTAGAGTCCTCACTAATTTATATTAATAAATCCACCTCTTAGTGACAAGAGAAGTAAATTAGACAGGTGTGTGGGGTGTGGTTTGTGGAGATGGGGAGGAATAGAGAGATGGATATATAGAGAGATAGACCATAGCGGTAGAAATTTCTAGAATTTATAGATGGGCAAAATTGCACTGATAGTTATAAATTTCCCACTCTTATATGTAATACCTTAGACCATTAACTGGAAAACAGCTTCATGAAAATACTACTATAACAACAACAATAGAATTTATCCTCACTCTCTGCCAGCAATAACAGAGGGATTCTCTACATATGTTTTCACTCGATTCCATTATAGACAAATACATGTAATTGTAGTTTTTGCTATATGGCAAACTAAACTGTCCATTAAGCTGTAATTATTTTTATAGTTTATATGTAGGAGCATTTTGCCTGCATGTATGCCTGTGCACCATGTGTGAGCCCGGTGCCAGCAAAGACCAGAAGAGGGGGTCAGATCTTCTGGAAGTGGAGTTACAGATGGTTGTGAGCCAGCATGTAGGTGCTGGGAATCAAACCCAGGTCTTCTGGAAGAGAAGCCAGTGCTCTTAACGGCTGAGCCATCGCTCCAGACCTCTTTATTTGGTTTTTGTAAGTATTGCTTATTGGGAGTCAGGGAAATGGCTCAGTGAGTAAAGGCAGTTTCTGTGCAAGCCTGTCCACATAAATTCAGTTCACTAGGACCCACGTAAAGCTAGGAGAGAATCTACTCCACAGTCTACTCCTCTCACCTCTATATGTACACTGTGACACATGTGCCCTATCCCCCATAACACACACAATGATTGTTGAAATAATAAATGTACTAAATATAAACATATAATAAATATATGCACAATATTTATTGAATAACATGAAAGATTAAAACAGAGGCTCAAAAAATTTTTTAGTGGTTTGATATATTGCAAAATATAAAGTTAATGTTCAGCCAAATTTGTTGAGTTAGAAATTGAGGCATGGGACAAATGAGGACTTTATCAGTTGGGGGAGAGGCTTACTGAATATGAGTAATGTGAAAAATATTTTTAAGAGCTTTATTACTTTTTTATTCAAACATGGTAAAATAATTGAATATCGAAATGAAGCCATGTCACTTTCACACAGTAATAGAAAAGGTCAAGTTCTTATTTGGTTTGTTTTATGTGTGTATGCCACTGTTTCTTAAGTGGCATCAGAAAGACAAAGGGGAAATGGAATATTCTCAGAACTCCATGTAAGTTGTTCCAAGATGGGAGGAATAGTTCAATGTGTTGTCACAGTTTAAATGTTATTTTAAAAAGATATTTTTAAAGTTTTAATTATGTGAAAGCCTGCATGTCTGTGCTGGGTATGTGCACGTGTGTGCAGGTGCCCATGAAGGCCAGAAGAGGGCATCAGATCTCCTGAAGCTGGAGAAGCTGTGAGCCATCTGACATGCGTGTTGGGATCCAAACACAGGTCCTCTAGGAAGAGCAGTTTGTGTCTTCTGCTCTACAAGTCATGTTAGTAAATTTTATTAAAATTTATCCAAAAACCATCATTACATGGAAACATGTTCAGAGCAGATGCTTAATGAAGAAAATATCATGTGTAGCTATGTACACAGCTATTATTTTTAACATAAATCAGAAAGAATTTACCTGATGACATTAGAAGTAACCCCAGAATGTGAAATTAAGAAAACAGTGTGAAATTGATGATTATAAACTTCACTGTTTAACCTAGACCAAATTTATGAATTTCAGTGTTTTCCAATAAATATCTCAGCACTCTGTGCCAAACTCGGCAAGGAAAAGCTCTGATTGGATGTGTCTAATGAAAATGTAGGGCTCTGTGAGTCTCACGTGGACATATTTCTGAATACGGATACAATGGTGTTCTAGAAATGGCAGTTGTCGAAACTGCTGAGCACTGAGTCTTAAGGGTGTGCTCTTCAAATGGAACTTCTGTCAGCTCTGAAGAAAGTGAAGACCAGGCCGCAGAACTGACTGGCAGAGTGATGTGTCAATGAGATCATTCAAAACCCATGAACGTGTGTTACTGTGGTATTGATTGCTGTTCACATTTTAGCTCTACACTGGAAACAGCAAAAGTCAGTAAGCCTTTGCTGGCATTGAGTGATGTTGAGGGACACCTGAGTGAATATAGAGGCACAAAACTCTGCTATGCTCAGTTTGACCTCACTGTGGTTAAAACCCACAGGGAAGAACAAACAGGCATGCATGGATCAGAACAAAGGTCTGGCCATTCCACTGCTTCTTTTCTCGTATCTATATTGTTTCATTTTTCTGTGTGTTGGATATGTAAATAACTCTTGTGATAGCTGTCATTTAAGAATTTTAAACATTCCAATCAGTAGTTTTATGTTTAACCCTCCTATCTTTGTTGTTTGTTTGCTGGGGTGTCTGGTTTTTTTGCTAGTGTGTTTTTGACAAGGTCGTACACTGTAACTCAAACTGGCTTAGACCTTACTATGTAGCCCAGGCTGGCTTAGATCTCACTATGTAGCCCAGGCTGGCTTAGACCTCACTATGTAGCCCAGGCTGGGCTACAAACTTGCAGCCGTTCTCTTGCTTAGCTCCTGAATGCTGGGAATATTAAAAACCTCCTATATTTGAAAGCAGGTAAATATGATTTAGACAACATCCCTGGTTTCTTTGTAGCTAATATTCCTATCAACTGCATGATGAGATGAATAGATACCTCATGGGTTGCTCTAAGATTCAGGGCAGACACTTTAATGACATCAAATGCTTTTTTCAGAGCCTAGTACATGATAAGTATTTATCATAGAATAGATTGGGGACCTTGCCATGGTCCTCCAGGAAAAAATGACGGAGAATATGTGCAAAGGCACAAAGCTATGCATAGAGCCCAGAGGACAAGGCAGAAGGCTTTATGGGATGGTATAACAGACATGATGAAGAAGATGATGATGATGATGGGTGCTGTCAGCTCTGCAATAAAGCAGGCTAATCTTCCCAAATTATTTCAATCTCTTATTTTTTTTAAAAGCAATTATCACTAAAGAGCTCTGAATTCTAGGCTCATCAAATGGCTAAAGCAATTTTATTCTGTGTATGGCTTGGTGATGAATTCATCTTTTTGAAAGAGCTAAGATAAAATTATCTGGCCCATTTTATATTTTGTAATGAACAGTTGCTAGGGCAACCTTTCTGCTTGGTACTTCATTTCCAAGGTGACAATTTGCTACTGGTCCAGGGCGCTGGAAAGCAAAACAGCATTGTGCTTTGGAAGAAGAAAGACCACCCCCCCCAAGTAAGCCATGAAGGAAACAAAGAGTCCTTACACAACCAGACACCGCTTCTTGGCCCACACAGATGTTGCCATGCGTTGAACAGAGGAGAACCCATACAAAATTCTCAGCGCAGAGAGATTAGATCCAGGCCCACCTGCTTGCCAGCTCCATCTCTTCCACAAAGTGGTCATTTCAAATTGAAAAAAAAAATCTCTCTAATAAGCTGGGAGACATTTTAGCATATCGTTATCCTATTCTTTCTATTTATAGCTGAGGGTCTCTTCCAGTCTAAGGAAATGTTAGGGAATAAAAGATGCCAATAGAAGATATTTGAAATTTATCCTTGTAGTAAATTTTGCAATGTATACTACATTATTTACTACTGAAGATCTCAAAACCTATTCCTCCCGTCTGTCTAAAACTTGGTGCCCTTTGATCAACAACTCCCCATTGTCCTCCTCTCTGCTCCCACCACTGTAGCCTCCGAAACCAGCACTCACCCTATTTCTAGGAGTTCACATTTTTAGACTCTACATCTAGGCGAGATCATGCACTCTCATCATTAAAAAAAAAAAAAAGATGGATCAGTAGCTAAGAGCAATTGTTGTTCTTGCAGAAGACCCTGCCTGGTTCAGTTCCCAGCAACCATGTCAGATGGCTCACTAGCACCCGTGACTCTAGCTCCAGGGGATCCAATGCCCTCCTCTGGCCTTTGTGGGCACTATACTTACATGCACATGCATGCAGACACATATGCATACACATAATCACAGGTAAGCAAGGTGATAAATATGCTGATTGGCTTGAATTAATCGTGTCACATTGTAACCTGATATTAAGTCGTCACGTTATGCCCTGTAAACATATAAAGTTACGATTTGTCAAAAAACAAAGTTAAAAATTTAAAGACATAAACTATGCTTTGGAGATGAGATTGGATTTGTTATGGTCTACCTCTGTCATCATCGAATTCTTGCCCTTCTGCTAATGATGAAGGGTGAATTTGCTGGGCGGAGCACTGTCTCAGTTGTATAACTTGTGATGGGAATGCATGGTACCACAAAAGGTACCAAACACAAGTGTCCATGGGGAAATGTTCATCCCTTTTCTTTGGCCTTGCTTTCTAAAGGTGAAGTGCTACAATGTTCTAAAGATCAGGATTCTTACTTCTGCTCCTCCTGAATTTTTCCTTCAGAACAATCCGAGGCTGGAATCTAGTTTTCATTAGCACACAAGGTAGTAGTTTCATTGTGGTATTTTTCAAGCAAAATTTATTTTGTTTTTGTTGCTTCTCTTCCCTCTTCTCTCTCACACTCTTTCAGCCTCCTCCATCTTCCCAGCCGAAGTAGCCCCCTTTAGGGGTCATGTGTCCTTACATCCTCCTTGCCCTTCTGCCTTCCCTTGATAACTTGCTCCCCTCACGGGCCCCTACCTATTTTCTCCTGTCTGGCTTCAATTTGCATCTATCCTCACATCCCTTTATTTACATACTGTAAGTAACAAAAGTCGGGATCTGTGGTGGTTTGGATGGGATGTCCCCTGCAGTCTCAGCATTTTGGTTCCTAGTTGGTGGCACTGTTTGGAGGGATTTGGGTGATGTGGCCTTGCTACAGGAAGTGATGTCATTGGAGGCGGGCTTCGAAATGAAAAGCATCATGCCACCTGGTTTTTGTTTTGTTTTTCTCTCTGCTTTGTGCTTGCAGTAAAGGATGCCAGCTCCCGGCTTCCTGCTCTGGCCGTGCTTGCTGTCTGCGGCTTGCTGCCATGCCTCCCCGCCATGATGGACCCTTATCCCTCGGGAACCATAAGCCAAAATTCCCTCTTCTTTAAATTGCTTTGGTTGCGGCCTCTATCACAGCAACAGAAAAGTAACTGGTATGGGATCCACATATGAGAATGTGTGATTACTGTCTGAGTCTGGGTCACTTCACTAAATATAGTACTTTCCAGACCCATCCATCTCCTGCAGATTTCATTTTTCTTCAACATTTGAGTAATATACCATTTATTACACCTGCCACATTTTCATTATCCACTCATCCATTGATTGACATCCAGGCTGGTTCCATTTCCTAGATATTGCGAATACAGCAGCAGTAAGCATGGAGCTACAGGCATCTCTGTGGTAGGTTATAAAGTGCTCTAGGTATTTATAACCAAGTCATATCATAGTCCTGTCTTAAATTTTTTTGAGAAACACTTCCACACTCCTCCCAGCGGTGATTCAGGTTCCCCATCCTTATGTCCTTGCCAGCATTTGCTGTCATTCATTTTCTTGATGAGCCATTCTGACTGAGGTGAGATGGAACTATCAAAGTGGTTTTAATTTGCATTTCCTTGGTGGCTAAGGATGTTGAAGGCTTTTTAAAATTTTTTTGTCCATTTCTGTTTCCTGTTTGGTTAACTGTCTGTTCATTCCATGATGCCATTTCTCAATGGGCTGTTTCATTTTTTATTGTTTAATTCTTTCAATTCTTCATATATTATAGATATCAACCTCCTGTCTGAAGTACAGCAAAAATTTTCTCCCATTCTGTTGGTTGTATATTTGCTCCGATGGTAGTTTTCTTTGTTGTGGAGAAACATTTTCATCTCATGCCATCCCATTTGTTGACTCCTGGGCCAATTGCCTGTGCTACTGGAGTCTTGTCCAGAACATTCTTGAGTGCACCTATGACTTGAAATGCATTCCCTATGTTTTCCTCTAGCAGTTCTGGCATTTCACATTTAAAATCAAGGGCTTTGGTCCACTTTGAATTGCTGTTTCTCTTGGATGAGAGCTGTTGATCTAATTTCATTCTTCTGTGGGGCATACCCAGTTCCGCCAGGGCCATTTGTTAGACAGTCTTTTCTTCCACTGGGTGCTTGTGATGCCTCTGTGTGGGTGAAATCGTAAGAACCACTCTGGACGCTTTCTCAGCCCCACACAGTTCATCCAGTTCCATCAACGTGACTCCACTCCAGGCTTCACCTGGGTCCAGTGTCGCCGCCTAGTCATCCTTGTCCAGTCTTGCCTCTGGACTGCCATGACTTCCCAGCCTCACACCTCCACACTGTCTTTTACTTAGGCAGCAAAAAGCCAGAGTTGACTTTTTCCCATGATAAAACCTCTCCCAGCTTCCTCAGGACAGAGTTGAAAAATCCTTAAGCTCAATTAAAGCTGTACTTTCTCTACACATATGTAGAGGACAGAGGACACCTTTGCAGGAGAAACTCTTCTCCTTCCCAGTCAAGTCAGACTTGGTGGCAGGTGCCTTCATCCACCAGGCCGTCTCACTGGCCCTTGCATTTTCTTTCTCTCCAATTGGATGGGGAGAGGGGTATCCATGGTTTTCAATCTATGTATTTCTTACCACATGTATCCGGTTACTACTAAAGTTAAATGTTTTTTTGTGTGTCATTTTGGCTTATCCCCCCTTTTTTCCCCTCAGATTTCTCACTGGAGTATTTATCATGTTTGTATCCCTTCATGGTGAAGATACACATGCATGCATGCCTCTGTGTGTGTGTGTGTGTGTGTGTGTGTGTGTGTGTGTGTACAGGCTGAACACCAATTTATGCACATATTGATATATACTGAACCATGCATGCATATCAATAATATAATTCTTATGACCTTCCTTCGTTGTACATGCTACAAATGTTTTCTTAAATCTGCTTTTACTTCATATTCTTTTATGCAGAATGTCATATGATGTATTTTGGTAATATGCATCCCCTCAGACCAACCCTCCCCCGCCGCCCTCACTTTTTTCTAAACCCACAGAGTCCCGTTGTGTTGCCCACGTACTCTTGGGTGCAGGCCATCCATTGGAGCGTGAGACCTACCAGGGGCCATACCTTAAAGAAAACTAACACTCCCCTTCCAGCAGCCATCAGTTGCCAATGGCTCCTCATCTAGGGGTAGGGTTTTGTGCTACCTCCCCTGTCCATGCTGGAGTTTGTACTGGTTTGAGCTGGTTTGAGCTGGCATAGGTCTTGTGTATGCTGTCACAACCACTGTAAGTTCACGCAGCTGCCCTGCTGTGTCTGGAAAAGCCTGTTCCCTTGTAGTCATCCGCTGTCTCTGGCATTCCTCTTCTGCAATGGTCCATTTTGACATAGTTAGGGGAGTAGATATTCTCTTTATGGCTTCTTCTTTTGATCACATGCGTCTATTTCCCTAGCCTGCCGCATTTGTTCTTGAGAACTTTCCATTCCAATGTATCTCAAGTTGTCGGGAGAGTTGCAAGGAGGAGTGATATAAGCCCAAGAAAATCCTGCTTCCAGGAGGAAGTCATTAGACAGGTTTGTTCCAAATAAGTCCCATGTATATTAATAAAAGGAATACACAGAACATGAAGAAAATGTCACCAGACTGCCTGGAAGAGGTAAGTCAGTGTTCACTCACTTTATTGCCTTTGGAGCCTTGAGGCAAAGTAAGAGAACGGGTAACCAATGCCACCCACAACCTCCAGGGTGAAGGGCACTGTGGCAGGGTGGTGCTGCCCTCCACTGGTTACAGTTTCAATGTGACTGATGGCTAACACAGGAGAGTCCCATTGCTCCAGCTGCTGCTCTAAGGGCTCGACCCAGCGAGGTCGAGGCCAGTGAGAGCCCTCGGCACTTGATTTTTCTAAAATAAAGTTTCTTTGCCTTTAATTTTTATTTCCCCAGATGTTCCCATGGGAAATCCCAAATACATAAAAAGCGGGAAGAATTAATAGCACCATAAGCCTTGTCCTCTCCGGTGATCTTTTCCAAACTTAAGAATTGCTCCAGCCGCTCTGACCCCCTGCCACCCCGTCCCATGCAGACATCCTGAGGCAGACACCAAGCATCCCGTCTGTAAACACTTCAGGATGCTGCTTTAGGGATGTCGCTCCCTTTAGGGCTGGGAAGCCTGATGTTTGCTACTTTCAGTCTCTTCGTATTTTCCAGGCGGCAGTGGTACTCAGTCCTCACATCCACATCTCTTCTGTGTTACACATCCAACTCTAACTTGGCTGCTTCAAAAACTATTTTTCCTGAAGACATGGGTTTCCTAAACTCTGTGGCTTCTTCTCGTTATAAGTGGTCCTCACGGAGGAAGTATTGGCTCTAGAACATACTACCACCACTGCCAACACTTCCTAGACCCTTATGTAAAATGGAGGGGTTTCTGCACATAACCTCCCTACATCCTCCTGTGTCCCTTAAGTCATCAATGATTCATAACACCCACTACAATGTACATGCCATGTAAGTAGCTATTATACTGTTAGGTCGTAACAGGGAAATGTACATGCTCAAGACAGATGCAACTTTTGATCTAAGATTGGCTGAAGCCATAGATGAAGAGTTCACAGACACCAAGGGCCAAGTGAACCTAATTGTATGTATATGGCCTTGGTCACATATACCTTTCTATACTCTCATGGAGGCTCTCTTTCTTCTCCAGGAACATGAGTACCTCAGATCCACTCCCCACCCCCACCTCCTCTCTCCTTGCCTGTGGTAGCTTTTATAATAGAGAAAATGTCATTCGACTTGGAGAAAGAAAGGGCCCCATCTCTCAAGCAAAGGCCCTCTGTCCTCAGTCCCTTGGTCCCTAGATGCCTGTTCATAACTCTGAGCTGCAGAGCTTTCAGCATCTCTGCAGCTCCACACACTCCTGCAGCGTCGGGGAACTGCAGACTTCCAGCTCAGCAAAGGCCGGCGCCTCCTGCCCTAGAAGAAGAAGTCGAAAGAGTACCCAATTCTCTCCTCCCTCATTTACTGCCTCTATGCGTAACTTCTTCCAGTACATGTCTGTTGCAATTGCTCAAGAAACTAAAGCAGGTTGTTTTGTTTTGTTTGTTTTTTTGTTTTTTTGTTTGTTTGTTTTTTTAGCAGAAAATAAAAAATTCATCTGGAGCAGGGGCACAGAAATAATCCCATTACCTCATTAAAGACCTTGGAGACAACGTGCTTATTCAGGATGGGGACATAGGTGGCGCTTCGGGGCACTACCGTCCCAGTCAAGGCATCCATGATGGTGAGCTTCTTGGCCACCAGGCCATGGGTTTGGAGCCACTTTTCCGAGGACATGTCTGCAGAGCTAAGAACACAAGACTGTAGGGTTTGAAACTTGCAACTTGGCCATTTGGAAACAAAGCAGAGGAAACCGTCCTCCTTAGATGCGATCACTCACGTGTGGTCATTAACTTGGCTTCGGGTTTCAGTGAGTCTCTCTGGCAATTTGTCTTGTAGGCACTTATTCATCAGCAGGATGCTCCTTTCTGTGGGATGAAATGGCAGCTGTGTATACTGGGGCTGACATCAAGGATCGATCATGCCCGCTCAGATGGAGGGCTAATGGCAGCCCACACTTCAGAGGCCATAGTTTAACCTACCAGAGCAGGCTCTCAGGCAAAATGCATTAGCGCCCTCCACTGGCACCCCAGGCATGGGTGCACTGCCCTGCCTTACCCACTCCCCCACCGTGGGGTGAGAGCTCCCCCCATAGAAGAATCAGATGCACTCCTGGCCCCCTTCTTCAAAAACCACATTTCAAATGTTTAACCAGACTATGATTTGCCAGTGACTGCTCAGCACTAGGCTCCCCCACAATTACTAGAGGGGCGACTTGATCGACATTTTTAATTCACACGCTTTGTTCAATGATTCTTCAGCTTAGTATGGGAAAATCAAAGACTGTTAGAGTCTGTGGAATCATTAGGTTCAAATTTTGAAATTCGTATTTGGGGTTTTAAATGTCTATCCTTATATACACTTGGATTTCTAAATGGAAAGGAATTCCTTCATTGATTTAGCAGCTGCCAGAAAGAAGGGAAGCAGTTCAGGTGTGCGTTGGTTAAATGCTTAAAAAAACATGTTCTACTCATCATGTGCCAAGTCCCATAATGAATGGACTACATGTAGGCAGCTGAGAACATGCAAGCTAGCACACTGCATGTAGCCAGTTGAGAACACGAACACTAGCAGGCTGCACGTGACTGAGGACACTCAAGCTAGTTGGAAAGGTTTCCCACCCAGCGGCACTGAAGCGAACAGAGGCTGGTTCACCACAAGTACACTTTGTCACCCAGGTGCTCCTACTACATAAGGGACTGTGTATTGTGCTCAGGAGTCAGTAATTAACTGTTTGAAATGTAGAGAGCACACTGTAGGATTCATTTTTTTTGGTTTTGTTTTGTTTTTCAAGACAGGGTTTCTCTGTGTAGTTTTGGTGCCTGTCCTGGGTCTCGCCCTGTAGACCAGGCTGGCCTCGAACTCACAGAGATCCTCTACCTGGCTCTGCCTCCCGAGTGCTGGGATTAAAGGTGTGCACTGCCGCCCAGTTCAATTTATTATTTTAAGAAAAAAATCATCTAGTTAGCCACTGAGTGGCCAAGTCATACCTTCCTCACACTTAGCCTTACACGTTTGACAACTGAAACCAGAAAGAGGCTGACTAGGTATGAGAGTTTCAGATTTAAAGCACAGAATAGTAAACATTTCTACTGATGCTACGGTAGCTGAGTGAGCCAGGAGGGTGCCAGACACCCAGACACAAGAAGCACTAGGAAATCTAGCCCTAGGAAGACCCAGGGCGCTAAAGTAGGTTTACCTGATTTACAGAGGAGCCTGTGAGGGAGGAATCTGTGACATTTCAAGTGTGACTTTTTTCCCCCCACTTCCCGCAACATATCCCACCCATGTCTCTCAGTCATGGAACAGTGGGCAAGAAGAAGATGAACGGGGTTTCCTGGGGTAGGGAACGTCCATGCTTGCCTCTGTCACTCAGAGCAGTAGTCACGCAGCTGCTGGAGTTGGAGCCATCCTTCATGTCGCTGCGGCTCTTGAGGAAGGATACGTAGCTTCTGAGGAGGCTCGTTTTGGTTGATTCTGTTGATACCACAAGACAGAGGGTTATAGAACTGGGGATGGAAGGGCGTTTGATTAGATAGAGGTACCTTGTTAAATTAATGTAACTTTAGACCTGGCTCCGTCAATCAGGTGCTTACTATGCACTTACGAAAACCTGAGTTTGATCCTCAGAAACAATTTGAAAGCAAAAGCCAGGTGTGGTAGGAATCCTGTCACTGGGGATGTGGGAGTTCCTTAGGGCTGGCTGATTCACCAGTCCAGCCTAACAGGAGAGATCCAGCCCAATGAAAGACCCTGTCTCAAAAAAAGAGGGGGAGGGGGAAAGGCAGGTGGGGCAAACACAAGTGACCCATCTCCTAAGTATATACACACACAGAGTGTGTGTGTGTGTGTGTGTGTGTGTGTGTGTGT